TGGATTGCTGCCAAGCCTTATCTGTGTTTATTGCTGCCTGAGTTTCTCTGAGTTGCTGCTAAAGTCCTTATCTGTTTGTTATGCTTGGCTGTCAGCCACCGAGGTGTTGGTGTCTTGCTATTAAAGTACATTGCAGTTAAGCTTGTCTTGGCATTCGTTACTGGACGGAGGAGGGGGTCAGAACAGAGATCATTAAACCTTCTCTGCTTGTCCATCTTCTCTTCAATTTCCTACACTTTAATGGGAGTTTATCCAAACCCAGCCCTGCAGTTTGATGCAGCAAGATGCTATTGCAGATGCTGAACACGCAATATAGTAAGCTCTTATTTATTTATTATGGTAGGGGTGTCTGCCTTTTTATAATGTACCTACTGAATTTTCAGGCAGAAGTTTCCAGATTCCTAGAGATCTATTAAGCCCAAACTGATCTATATAACAGTAGTTGTTTTCGTAGAGAAATATCCTCTCATCTCTCCCCGAAGATCTAAATCACTGTGATTTATCCTACCCCTAATTAGCAATAAAAGAAACCCAAATAAAATGAAGGCCTGAACATCTGGTTCGTATTCACTCTAATGATTTGTACACATACTAAGTGACTTGATGTTCTGTTCCTAACAAAGAAATTCCAGATATCCCTATGCAAATATTTTTTTAAAAACCCTAACCATTTCTCTCTCCCTGAACCCACCCTCTATTTAGCTAGACAGATGGAGCTTCTGAAACAGAAGAAGCTCCATCCTAGAACAGAAGAAGTGTTCATCCCAAAACAGCTGAAGCGCTGATGTCATTCTTAAAGGGAGCTATCGATAAAAGGAAGCTGAGGGACATACTCGTTTGTATACCCATCTTTGTGGCATCATTTTCTTAGTTGTAAGTCAGAGACTCAAGGGAAAAAAATACCCTCAATAGCTCTTTTACAGTACAGTGTAAGAGAAAGTTTGTTGCCCGGCACAGAGGCTCTTCTTATATTCCATTTTATCCTCTGTGCTCCATATCCTTTGTGGACATATAGAGATACAACAGAGAAACAATTACCTTACAATTTCTTAAGCAAACAAAGGATTAACCTTTGGGCCCGGAGGTCATTGTTCCAATCACTTCGTAAGGAATAAAAGAGGTGGAGTTGTTGAGCAGGATGGAACAAGATCCATGTATAAGTGACAGTATCAGGAAAAGCAATCAGACTAGTTTTTTTGTCGTTGCAAATTCATTCCCCACAAAGCCTATTTCTTACAGAGACACCTCTTGGCCAAACTGCATTTGAAAGGAAAACTAAGGATTTGCTCTCAACGCAGAAAACAAGCTCACCTTGTCGAAAGCAGGGTAAACAGCTCGGATCTCTGTCAGCCAGCCATATGGCATGTGTCCCACTGGATACGTAGCTGTCAAAATTGCAACTGCCTAAAGTGTGAAGGAAAGACAGAAGATTACAGATCAAATCTTCAGAGGCAACTTGCTCTTTAACTAATAGTTGAATACTTCCATCACGGTTAAGAGCAGCAGTAATTTAAGACTGCCAAGCACGCACCTGCTCCGTGACTACAGTAGATGCCAACAACTGGCACTAAGTAAATGAATACCTGGATTCACGTATTATATTAAGCCATAATATTACTTTCATGTTGGCTTAATATGGGTGAATCCCATAATTATAGGATTTACGGCTGAGTACACGATGGCTTCTTTAATAAAAAGCAGTTAAAGCAGACCACAGCGCTGGTGAACCTTTCTTGGCTTGTGTGCCATAAGCGGGGGGGGGGGGGGGCTGTTTTCACCCTCCCCAGGCTCCTATAAAACCTCTGGGGAGGGCGAAAAAAGCATGCAAAAAATGGGGGGGGGGCACCTGTCATGCGCGCTGGCTGGGTGTTGTGCATTGCATTATGGGTGTGGCATGCCCGCGCACGACCCCCCTGCGCCCCCCCCCCCCCCCCCCCCCCCCCCCC